TGGCACCGCACTGATGCCAGCTTGGACTACCAGCTACATCGCTGTCGCGAAGGTGGGGATAGCACGTCTGCGCGCGCACGCACGCAACAGGCAACACGCCGCATATACGCGTCGAGCGCACACGTGTTGCCTGTGTGCGTGAGTGCGCGCGCAGACGTGCTATCCCCACTCTATCCCCACCATCGCGACAGCAATGTAGCTGGTAGTCCAAGCTGGCATCACACTGGCACGTGATGGCACGTTGATAAACGCCGTAGAGGTTAAGGTATACACTATTAACATAGAATTTATACGTAATCATATTCCGTACAGATATTATTATTTTTGGTAATATTTATTATATAATTCCATGGTTATTTATGGGTATTATATAAACCATGGTTACGTTCTAATATGCGCCAATTGAGGAATTACATAATAAATATTACCAAAAATAATAATATCTGTACGGAAAATATGATTATTCGGCCGCAAATAATAAAATACAAAACAATACCTAATGTCGAACGGTTTCCTACAATTACGTTTAATCCGAGCCGCCTGCGCGGATTCCGCTGGATCCCGCTGGATTCCCGCAATCCTCGCCTTTCCCTCCGTTCCGTCGCCGCTCGCTTACCCCGTCGATGCCGAATTGAACGAAAGCGCAGCAGTGCTGCAGTGATCTCAGATTTGCGTTTCTGCCACCTAGCCACCGCGGTAGTGGGGGTTGGCGCGTGGTGGAAATTCGGCACGCACACAATCACGCGGTCGTGTAGCCGCCGACCGCTACACGACCGCGTGATTGTGTGCGTGCCGAATTTCCACCACGCGCCAACCCCCACTACCGCGGTGGCTAGGTGGCAGAATCGCAAATCTGAAGGTGCTATTACATGGAAGTGTCGTGCGTCGTGCGTCAAGCGTCAAACGCGCGCGCAGCACCTTTGCGCAGATGTCTAAACGTGCAGATTTCAGCGTCCTACGAAGCAGCGTTGTCATTGGACCTTGCTCTCCCGCCAAATCCCTCGCGGCGAATCGCCCGCCCGCTTGCTGCTCGACAGGCGCCGTTTCGAAACGTTCGAAATTCGCTACGCGATTTGTAGCGCCGAGCGCGACTGAAAATGCTCTCGCTGTAATCGCTGTAATCGGACACAAAGGTATCGCGAGGGTTTTAAGGGAGAAATGACGATTACACTCACGGTAACCCACGTAGCGAATGTAAAAGCATTTTCGTGCACCTCGATAAGGGCCGATCTTTTCTCCCCCCTTTCCATACAAAGGTTGTTCCGTCAAATTGTCACTTTCTATTAGAATTTTATTACATCAACTTTCAAACAATTACACTGATTTGTACTCTTGAAACAATCGTTTATTTCAGATTAATTTTCACCACTCTACAGCGCTGGATCGTGCGTAGAAAACGAAATTATTAAGGATTTTACAAGATTCCCACTATACGTAATATTAATTTTATACTCGTGTGTGTGTGTGTGCGTACGTATATACGAAATCCAGTGTCACACAAAATTCTATTTCTATCGCTAATATAATCGTTACAATTGATTACTAATAAATTGAGTTGCTTCCTAAACAAATACAACTTTGATTACGCACATTTGATTACTATGTACAATCTAGTGTTTTACACATATATATATATTACATATATATATAAATTGGTCTTCTAACCTATGTTTTTAAAAAGACGCGCACACATCTCATCGAGATATATCGTTAAGGCTTTACTCATCTTTTCGTTATTACTGTTACCACAATGCCACAAACTTGTATCACGTAGAAAAACATCCGTGTATTATTTTCACCACGTTTGCCTCCAAGTGACGAGATTAGGATTGGAGTAGAGACAGTTGCTCTCTATCAAACTTATAAATGCTATCAGACGAAATTAATAAAAAAAGAAAGAAAGAAAAACTTAATGAAGAGGACGATAAATAAAGGAATAATCAGTTGTCTCGCGCTGTGACACGCAATAATATAAATTACACATAGCAATGACTGTCTTGCAAAAAAAAAACATACAAGTTACAAGTCAAATTATACTGCAAGCTACGTCAAAGCGACGCATGCACTATACCGGCTGTTCGTTTTCTGGTAAATCTAAAATCTCTCCGACAAATTCGGCCACATTTGTATCTTTCTCGGCGTGTTCTCTGATAAAGTCGAGTTCCAGCAATTGGCTGTAATTTGGACGGGCAGTGTAGTTCTTTAACAGACTGAAAACAACAACGTATGTGAAATCTGTACCGACCATCCTGGCTCCGAGTTGTAAGACATTGCCATTTACCACTTATTGATAAACTCCTCGAACGAGGGGGAGAACTTGCCAGCTGGCAATTTTGGGGCATCGTCCTTCACCACCTGTTTCAGTTGCTCGAACGGCGTACCCCATGTCTCGTATGGAAATTTACCAGTCGCTAATTCAACCAGGGAAATCCCTAGCGACCAGACATCGGATCTGATATCGTATTGCGATGGGTTGCCCGTTGGGTCTATCCTTTCCGGCTACAAAAAAAGGGAAATAAAAGATAACGGTGATATATCGAAGCAACGACTGAGACGAACCTTCCAAAAGTTTCCTACTTGATAAGCTCAAGTTACGTACAGCCATATACGGTTTGCATCCGGCGTCGATAGTCTTGGCAACGGAATCCACAAGATAACCCGATATACCAAAGTCACAAATTTTCACCTCGCCCTTCCGATTAATTAAGATATTGCTAGGCTTTACGTCTCTATGAATCACCCGTAATTGTGAATAGAGGTAATGTAACGCGCTTACTACCTGCAAAGTACGACAATGTAAGTGTTTCTTTAGCAATGGGAGAAATCCGAGCGTATACACATATCTCATACAGCACACAAATGTTGAAGCAACATCTCAGAAACGTTCCACTACAACATTGCAATATTGCATCAATGATACGAAATGTAGATTCAATGTTGAAAAGATATTGCAAAACCGTCTAATGTCCGCTGAATGGTAACGTCTTGTACACGTTACAATTCAACATTCAGAAAACGTTGTTAAATTATATCGAGTTAACATTGGTCGCGTTTAGCAGAATATTTTTTACCACTGTTGGAAATGCTGGAATTGAATTATTCCACTAATAATCCAATCTTAGCTCAGAAAATTTCTAATCGGTGTAAAAATATTATATACATATATATAAATTATATATTTTTAAGTATCTGAGTGTCAAAAAATAATAATTTGCTCAAGATTGTTTTAACGTTGCAACAATATAAAGAATCAATGTACAAACATTAACCTAGATTTAATGTAGAGAAGATATTGAGACTTCAACATTCAGCATCGCAACGATTCAGCAACGTTATTTTAACTTTCTGTGCTGTATGGGTATGTATGTATATACATGTTATAATATATATATACCGCAAAAGCCACTTTTCCTAAGATATCTTCAGGAATAGCACGACCATGTTTGTATACTTTTGTGTAAAATTTATCGAGGCTCATGTCCATCACTTCCATACATATCCATACGTCTCCCTCTCGGAACAAGGCTCCGTAAAACTGTACTGTGTAGGGACACGCTGAGCTGCGCATAGAAATATCCAGATCCATCAGCAGCCGCTTTTGCTCTTGTGTATTTACAGTAGCAGCTATCCTCTGTAAATTGTTTTTCCTCTTTTCAAGTCACGTTCCACCCCGTACCTACCGCATTTTAGACAACTGTACCTTAACAGCCATAATTGTGCCACTCTGCTTGTGTCGCATTTTATCAACAATTCCGTATGCTCCACGGCCAAGTACACAAAGTGTCTCCAAGTCGTCAGCTTCTACTACAAACGTCTTTTCGTCTATAGTAATGGTAGTCCGTTTGTCTAAATTTCTTGGCGGTGTTCTAAAACGAGACATGCGATACAAGGCATGTATTATCATCAAGTGTCTCCAGATAGGAAGGGCATATTGCGCAGCTGAAATTTCTCAACATGTCTTTGAATCTCGCTTACGTGTACACTAGTTTCATTTCTACAAGTAAACGTATACATATATAGTTTACAAGTGTAAAGTGCCTTGCAACCCCAAGGGGAGACAATAAGGATATTATAAACATATACACATGTAGTAAATGCAAAAGACGACACGTATAGACGTAAGCGACACTAATCGTGGGCAGACATTGCGGCGACGCTATACGTACACTGGTGCAGGTGCATCTTCGGAGACCTGTAGTTTTAGATTGCGTTTTCCACGACGTAGAGCCATGATACGAGATAGAATCGACGGGAGGTTGCGCCGTTGGCAACCTGCGCAAATTCGGCACTACTCCAGAGGAAATCAATGGAAATTCATGACTGGCGCTACCACGGGGCGTAGTGCGTACGCAATCTGGAAAAGCGAGAGGAAACGCTCGATTAAAACGCTGAACACTGCGCCTCGAGACGGACGAACGAACGTTTAGCTGTAGATTTAACATATTTCAATTTTAGACTCGAGTCTCAGACTTGGACTTGGACTTGTATTCAGCTTTGTAGCTTCATAGCTTTATAGATTTAGGTTTAGGTTTAAATTTAGCTTGACGTTCAGGTTCAAGTTCGGGTTGAGGTTTAGGTTACTCCGTAAACAACGTTGGGCCGCGTCGCTCGTAAAAGTATCATATCCCTCGTTCGTGCAGCGCAACAAATCTATTAGCGTCATTACAGAGGACGTTACGCTGTCTTGAGGAAATTACCGCGTAAGAACCTCCGAGTGTGTCCGTACCTCGATCGCACTCCGTTGCCCATATATGAAGTCTACTCTTTAGTAAACTCAAGCTGCATCGTCTGAAGTTGGTTGCGCGAAAGCCGCGCAAGTTTTGCAACTGTGAACCGTTAAATTCAAGTGTCGTTTAATCGCGATGATATTTCACCCGGTGGTCCCCCATCCCAGGATTGCGCGTTTCAAATATTCGGAAGCGAAACGAACAATTTGGCAGAGCAAAGAGCGCGAAAAAACACGAATCAAAGCTATTTCCCTTCCAAAATTGTGCGGTGTGTGCGGGGTGCGCGATGCCGATCCTAGGAAATTTTCTCCGGTGCTATTGGCCGCTCACCAAGCGGTCCCCCAAGTAGCGCAAATGAATCGACTACGTTCAGCTCTAATTGGATTAGATTTTTTTCTTCTAAATTTAAAATTATCACCCTTCTATAACGCGGCCGTAGGCGCCGTACTTGAATACTTGCATATCACAAGAAGTAAAAGCAAGTGGTGGGATGCTTTTACTTAATTTTCGAAAAAATGGTACTAGTGAAATTGTACACACGGTGGCGTCAGTGCTCGATGCAATTTGGGGAATTTTCGCAGCTGCATTTGGTAGGACGATTTTACGATTTTCAAACCGCACGTTTGTATCGTTTACTTAATGTTCCCGTTTGCGAATAATCAAGGATAGCCACCGACACGCAGTAGCAAAAGAATTGTTCTCAAAGAAACTTTACTATTTTCTGCTCTATCGTATAGTTTCGTATGGTTCATGTATGGCAGTGTTGATACGTACATACAGAAATTAATGAAATGGTCTCGAAGCCACTCTACGGGGACAAAAAGCTCGTACAACAGGTATGGCATTATCAGATTTTTATCCCTTAAGCCCTGCTGAATTGCTTGCGATTTCTGGTAATTTATTAAATCGCAAGCAATCCAGCAGGAAAAATAGCATCGTCCGCAGCGGGCTTTACCAAACGATCTAATCGATACCAATTAATGAAAATTCCACGGTGGGAAAATTCGATACGTTTGGTTGCCCGGCTAACTTCACAGAGGTAACTATTTCACGCGCTTCAAATTGAAATCTGTTTTGGTAACAAGGTCACATTTACCTGTTGTCGCTATATGACGGTGCAAGAGTATAAAGCAAGATCGATTGCAAATATATACGCATTTCTCTGTGGTACATTGAAGAATATTTTCAAGATTGCCAGGACTTTGACCACCGACGATGAGCGAGCAAGTTATAGACGAATATTATACTAATCTAGAATATGATAGGGACAGCAAAGAGGTGAGCATGAGATTGGAGATCAACTTGGAATATGTGTGCGTGCGTGCCGTATTTATTAATTAATAATTTTGATCGTGAGGTAACAGTGTTGCAAACGAATAGCAATTTCTTTATATATTTTCAGTAGAATGCATTTGTCTTTGTATGTTTTTTTTTAGAAAGCATTGACAGACATAGCTACCTTGTCTAGGGGAGTGCAATTTAAGAATTCTGATGATTTTTCAACGAGGTAAACCGCAATTTAATCTACAGCTGAATAGATGCACACTCGAAGTGGCGCAAAATGGTGCACGCAATTATACTAGTATTTCCTTTCCGTTCTTTCAGATTTCACAATGCAGCATCTGTAATCAAAGAAAATTTGTCTCTTTTCAAATCCGCCTGCGAACATGTGGACACAGTCACCATCATTCTCGAGTACTTGACAAACTTTGGTGCAAAACTTACGTTTAGTAATAGGCTTGGTACGTCATCAGTTTTAGCAAGCGTATACTTTATATAATTTAATTATTTTCATGTATAAGAAGCACATCGGACCTGAGATGTTTTTTTTTGTTTTCAATCTTTATTCTGTTTTCTAGACGAATACAACAGAGAAGACGGAATTGTGTCGGTAATGTTTACAATCTTCAGTATATGTAGGGAACAGAAAGTGCAATTATTTCTGGAAAATGCTATCATGTAACTCTGTTTTCCTTCCTTATATCTCTTCGATACATTAATTAATTACTTATATATTGTTTCGCGTTAGAACTATAACATTACCACATAGAGCAATTTTATAGATAAACGTTAATGTTTACGTTTTAGCAAAAGTTCAACGCTGTATAAAAGTCGATGTTATCGTTTAAAAAAAGAGCTTTCAAGTAAGCATAGCGCACTCGTAACGCAACGAAAATGTATTGTTACCTGTATACCTGTAATAGTGAAGATTTTATTGAACTTTATGCAGATGAAACCAACGAAATGATACTTTTAAGCGATTCAGATTTATACGCAGTTGTCAGCTATTTAAATATAGTAGGGCATTCTCGTATAAACAAAATTTGGGTCCAAATGCCAATTAAACAGAAATTTTTGTCGCTCGTCAAGAAGTATTTTCGTCCCAGAGACTTGAGAATTTCGACATGGATATCGATAGGCGAGTTTATACCGCGCGAATCATGCGATATGAGTATAACATCTATATGGTCGGAAAGTATTGTGGACGCAAAACAAATAGCGTCACTTCTAGATGTGTGTATATTATTTAAATCATATGACAGTACATTGCCGAAAGGGTATTTAATCGTTAAAATAATTTAACTGCTTGGAATTGTTCAGAGAGACGTTGTGTTCATAAACATGCATATGGATCTCTACGGTGGTATCGTGCTTTTACCTTGGATAAAAATACTTGACAAATTACACGAAAGATTACCTACGGACCTAAGTTCCGACGGCGTGATACTAGGTACAAACCGTACAAATGAGATACATTTCTTAAACCTTCGTTCAAGCATGACGTCTGTGCCACTTTATAATCTCTTTTATGATGGCAAATGGCACAAATCCACGAAAGGAATGTATTGGAAGCACAATGACGACAGTTATAGAGCGTATGCAACAAGGTACTGTATTTTATTTTTTTATTTCACTCTTCGTTCTTGGATTTAAGTGAAAAATGTAGTCTTAACTAATCTGGTTAATCGGTTGTAGCGAAGATCTTCTGCCGTGTGTTAATTCAGCTGTAGAAGGCTTCAAGACTTGGAAAACTTTGCATATTGATACTAGACAACGTCTACTACAAGAATTAGTAACAGCACTAAAATATAATAGGTAGATTGTTAAAGTTGTGTGTGTGTGTGTAATAACTTTTCAACAAATTGATTGTTCCTTTTATGTTTCCTTTAGTAAATTCCTGAAAGACGCAGACAAATTGATAAGATACTCACAGTTCAATGAAACATTGTTACTTTGCTCTCAAACTGATAGATTAGAAGTAATTCAAAATCGTCTTCCAAGAGGCATTATTGTTCTTAAGGAGAAAACTGAAGATATGTTGTTTCTTCGGTTGATACAAATTTTAATCTGTGGCAATTCTGTTATTGTGCTAACCGACATGAATTCATCCAATTTGGCACAGTATTGCGATATCTTTTCACTATGTAAGATACCTCGGGGTGTCGTGAATGTACTGTCACATGCAAACACAAGCGATTTAGAATTAAGCTTATGCGCGACAGACTACGTCAACTACGAGGAACAATTTTTCACGTCTAGTTGGGACGAAACGTATACAAATCTTACTCTACCCAAGCATACCGTATTCTCGTTCAAATAATGATTTTAATTACCGAGCATGGCCGCGTCTGAATTTATAACAGAGTTTAATTTACTTACGAAAGTAGTATGTAAGAAGCACCTTGATGTACACTTTTTAATATTGCATAATTTTGGGAGAACAGTTCTTTCCTGTTCAACTTTCGCCATATAACGTACACTGTAAATTGAACATACTTGACTTGACAAATTATTCGTATTTCTAATTATAATTTTCCACGTATAATTATATCAGTAGTTTAGTAAATAAAAAAAGGGCATCTTCAATATACAGTTTTCTTTAAAATCCTTTTCCTTTTTCACGAGCGCGTCGTCGACAATAACACTTTATTATACATCCCTTTCGACCATTTGCCGTCGAATCGAAAAAGGTGCAAGAAACTTGACAACACGCGGTGTGTTAGTAAAATAAGACTATCGTCGGATAATGCAGCATTTCAAAATAATGTTTATTTATTTATCAAGGATAATATACTTATTATGGATTAACAAACATTGTAAACATTATGTTTTACATACTTATATATTATTACATATTAGGTCACATTTAGAAATTTGTTCGGAGAACAAAAACTATTACATTTCATATTCTACGGTGAAATATAAACAAGGACGCATAATGTAATCTAAATTACACGATGTATTCTAAATGTGGCCATTATTAAATTTTACAAACGTATATTTATAGAAAAGAACATCTCCGGCTGAACTTGACGTCAGCCCAGTCTCTATAAGACTTCGCCGTTCAACAATTTCTTGTCGAATAGAAATTCTCCCAAAGGTCCATGCGCGTGCATCATTTTGCCCAATGTTGAAATTTTGCCAGCAAGGTCGCGCTGCCCCTTGTACTGTTCGTCCAAGAAATCGCTAGTGAGGTAGTCCACCAACTGCAAGCAAATTGCGGCGATCAACATTCGGTTCGATTGGTGAAAATCAATTGTGCGGCAATTGTCGAATACTCACGTGGTAGTCGTTGAAAGGTTTTGAATTTTCGCAAATTATAATTATATCGCGAATGCTGCGGGTAACTTGAGCCTCTAATTTCAATGCCTCGGCAAGAGCTTCTTCTCCACTGTTCCATTCTTGGCGCATCGGATTTGTATTGTTGGTCTGTATGAAGAGTACGTAACAGAAAGAGCGGGAGAAACAAGCGTCACTATTCGTTCACGACCTCCACTCGGCATTCTTGCGCTTGTATATGCGTATATGCATTTACTCGTGGAAAGTAAAATACTCACCAAGGGATACTTGAGAAGTTTGCTAACGTCATTCGTAAGTTGTCCACGCATTAGCAGATATTCGATGATCTTTATCGCATGTTCTCTCTCCTCGCTCGCGCTTTCGAAAAAGAACTTGCTAAAGCCCGGGCGATTTATAGTATCGCGCGCAAAATGAGCACCCTGGCGAAGAAAAAAATTATTTAATTTTCAACGTAGCGGGAACTACATATTGTCATATACAGATTAAAAAAATTAATATATATATGTGTGTGTGTGTTACCATCGCAAGATATTTCATGGCAGCTTCCATTTCGGTTTTAACTTGAGACTCCATGATTTTTATGCACGGATCTACCATGTCTAGCCATGCCGTTGGTACATCAGCGGGTTTAACTATACCTAAAGAGATATAATAAAATTAATTTACTATTAATTAACTTTGGCTCAAATAAACGTCGTCGACGTATCGAAAGTCATATCGAAAGTCGTCTAGTAATTATTGCCTTGCAATAAAATTTCTACTATATCGTGTAATAATCCATCTCATAATTTACGTGAAGCTAAGATAAGAAGAACACGTATTATTTTATCAATATATTATCGACGAGATCAAGTATTTTATCGGTGCGTGACTGCCCACTCGCAACGTCGATAGCATCTACTTGCAGATAAAATGATCGAACATTAGGAATAATCTTATTGTGTCATAACTGGCTCGCTTCGTCTAGCGCTTTTATTCGCGGCCATTTACAGCATTGGCAAGTGTAGATTATAAGCAAAATTGTTACCGCTTGCACTACGAATATGTGTTAATTTATAAAATGTAACTCTCTCTCTTGTATAGCTCAATTCACTGCGATATTAATTGCATTAAGGAACGGAATCCAATCTTCGTTTAATATATAGATACCCAATTGCGTGTCACACAGAATGAGTCACACGGGTGGAAAGGGACTTTGGAATCGGTATGTACGCATCACCATCATCATCATCATCACGACTTATCATGAAAAGTTATCTTCGTGCAAAACAAGATGAAGCGAATTAATTTGCTATAGGCGAGATATACACGTACGTGATAAGTTGTATTAATTATATTTGAAGTTGTATGATTAATCTCTTTCACGATTACGAGAGAAAGAGAGAAATTGTTCCGCGACACGTACAATTGCCAGTATATAATAATTGTCGAATTAAACTCTCCAGTTTCCGCTGTCCGCGAATTCTGTTTAACGAAAACAAGTGTCGCACGATCTTGGGAGCATCTTGTTAATTTACACATTTCCGTACACATAACGTCGAGGGGGAAAACCGCTGATCAAAATCTTGTACACCAACGCCCACTCTAATGCCCAGTGGGCATTGCTTTATCCTATTATCTTATTTAGCTTGTTTTATCTTTACAATGCCCCAACTAATGCCCAAAAGTTGCCCAGCAATGCCGCAAATCTGTACACCACAATGCCCTCAGCGGTTTCCCCCTCGCATAACATGGAGTAGATTATTGCCAAGTGAAGCCTAACACACAATGCCACACTGAAAAAAAAATCTGATAGATTCAACCAGTCGTCTGTTAGAAAATGGACGAATCAGAATTCCTTTAGGATTTACCATGAAAGATGATTTCATAACCAGAAGTCTGCTGGACTCCGCTACACATCTGGTAAATCCTAAAGGAATTCTGATTCGTCCATTTTCTAACAGACGGCTGGTTGAATCTATCAGATTTCTCTTTCAGTGCAGGCAACGGGCAATAGGAATAGGGAAGAGGATTTTTAACGCGTTGGATTCGTCGGAAATTCTCTTCCATCAGCAATCCAACGCGTCAGAAATTCTATTCCCTGTTGCCTGGCACTGTGTTTGGGCCTTGAACGTATACTTCCTTCCCGTTTCTCCGCGCGAGGAAGAACGAAGAAGAATATTCATTCGTTAAACCGGCTAAGCTGAATGTATCTGAAATCATCACATGTATAATATACACGTAAATATCGCGGGAGACGAAGCTGAGAGGCAACTGCGTACGGGAACTGTACGGCTCTCCTTATCGCGCGCTGATAATAGCCACGTCGATTTCCCGCGGCTAGAATAATTTATTTCCCCAACGACTCTAGCTTCATCATCATTTATATTTTGTAGAGCGATAATTCGGAATCGGGTCGTGAAAGTGAGATTTGATAAAAAGCCCTGACATCTGCGCGTAAAAATGGTGCAGATAGGAGTAGGGAAAAAAACACTCGACGCATGTGCCAGAAAGATGAGACGCATTTACTTGTTGCACAAATCGTTTAAAACTTGCTGCGACACGACGACGTCCGCAAACGTTACGATAAGTTTCAAACGACATATATACCGAAGAAATTTCATCACTTTCCCGGTCGATTGCATAAACCACGATACAGAGAATGACAAATTCCAACGATAAGCAGGACCGATGAATCGAGAGGAAACAAAGGCTATCCTTGGAACGACCGAGCGACCGACACGTTCTCTGTCTCTATTCCAACAGGAACGGATGACTCGTCGATATATAACACGTTAACAATGCGATTTCAATTGCGACGTTTTACAATTCAGGCCTCGGCGTATAAGTAGACGACGCGAAAGTAAAATCTTCGCCGGATTTCGCTCTGAAATAAAATGCGAACATCTCGGGAACCGCGAACATCGGGGCCACGGATGTGCACGTGATGTACGTAAACACAACAGTACGTTTCTACCTCTATGGAGTTTGAGAAACTGAGAACCGACAACTATTTGCCAGGGTACCTATGGAATCGTTTGCCCTTGTCAATGTATTTTTGCTTTGCGCACAAACGTCCGTATAGATATCGTGGAATAATAACAGACGATGTGGAGCCCATATTGGTTGCCACGTGTCGGCTCGTTTACTCTCGTCTAGAAGGAAACCAAGGCTCGACATGTAGCTCCAACTTTTGAAACCAACGACCAACGAGTCATCGCAGACCGGGGCTTCGGCGTCAGCCGCGAGCGGAGGGCACCGGGGCTAATCGGAAACGGCTTGGACAATATCCAAAGGTCTGATTGCTCAATCAAAACAAACTATTGCGTTCGCTGCTTTACACGGAGTCATTCAATTTCCCGCGGAGCGCTTTAGTGCCAAGCTGGGACGGACACGCGGGGTAGATTTTCTTTTCCACGCGTTCGGAAGCGACGTCGAGGAAACGAGACGAAGGAGCGGGATCTGCCGGGCCGTGGTCGATTCTTATATCAAAATCGTCTCAAGAATCGCCTCGGGAGGTTGACACGGCTCTGCGGTTGGTTGAAAACACATCAAGCGTATACCCAATCTGCAAACCCTTTCACACAACTGTTACTGATCTCATGCCGTCACGTTAACAAGCTGTGTACAAGCAAGAGAGTCATCACACTTTACGCAGTTGCGAATTAATGAATGTCAAGAGTGAACAAAGATAAATAAGAGTAAAGAAGAATGAATGGGGTGAAAATATGACGTGAATAGATACAGGAAAGGAGAGCTTGCCTATTGTCGCCAGTAGCGATTAAACATTGAGCCGGGGAAACTTGTAGTCAACCCAACTGGCTGGTTACTTAATCAGTTCACTACGCAACGTTTCGACCCCGTTCTTCCGGGTCCTTCTCGAGTGACACCAAGTCCAGTCATCGTCGTCGAGTAAGACGGAGTCGAGTTATAAAATATACGCGGTAGCCCGGGCTCGAGCAGTTCGAGTACAAACGGCATCGCGGAAATTTGTCGCTCGGGGTTGACTGCAAGTTTCCCGTCTCGATCAAACAAACACGCTTATTCGCTCGAGACGACCTCAGATTTAAGGACGGACCGTGGCCGGTATTCATAGCCGGGTCTTATTTCAAAATCGTCTCGAGCGTTGCCACGGGAGCGTCGACACGGCTCTGCGATCGGTTATAAAGGCACGTCAGCCCCTTGCACTCCGAATTATATTCCGTCTATTTTCATCTATTGGCTTGGACTGGAACGAACGTCGAGCGAGAAACTCGACAAAGAAGCTCCCGAGACAAAAAAAAACCGACGTCACACTCGACGTAGGAGAGCGCGAAGGGGGTTTAACAGTAATACTCGAGAGACGATATCGAATTTACGAACGGGGCCGTAAACACCGGCCCACGGATTAATAGGGCGACTACGTCGGACGTCAACGTCCTGTCTAGCGCCGTTGGATACCACGCGTCCGCAAATTAACACGCGGCGTAGAGGAGCCACGATAAGAGCACGAGGGGGTCGGGAAGGGGAGGGGGAGGAGGGGAGGTTGAGGGAGGAGGAGAGAAAACTACGCATGTCGATTGCAAACTTACACTTGAGTCCGTCCCCGAAGGTGCCACTGATGCAGGCCAGGGTGACGAGAAAGACGTGGAGCAGCTTCGTCATCGTGATGATTTCGCGCGCGCGCGACAGAGCGAGTGAGACAGACAGACAGACAGACAGAGTGTGTGACAGAGAGAGAGAGCGAGAGAGAGGAAAGGAAGGAGCGAGCGTGGTGGACAGGACAGGTTATGAGATCCCGAGGAAGAGTCTGGCGCCTGGCGGATCGTTCACCTCGTCCAGAAGCAACCTTTATACGCACTGGTATAGAAGGCTGCCCTCGTCGGAGCTAGATAAGAAGAGCGCGGCGACGGCGGGCGACTAAACGCGTCCTACGGTCATCGATCACCTAACGACTATCGTCCGACGTACGCGCGACATTCGCACTTTAACCACGGACAGGCGGGGTATCGGGGCGGTATCGGGGCAAAACGGGTAGGGGAGCCACGCACCAGGGAGAGGGCGCGTCTTCCGTCTCTTCCGTCTCTGCCCCCCCCCCCCCTCCCGCCGCTGGCCCAGGCGCGCGCAGCCCGCGCGCCGCCTGCGCCTGCGCCGCGCCGCCCCCGTCAGCTGACTATGACGGCGTGAAAACTCCCATCTCCGCAGCGGGCAACGTTCATTATCGGGAGAACGTCGAAGCGAGAGTATTCACGTTGCTTCCTACCGAACGTCGTACACCGCCCGCGGCGAGAGAAAGAGAGAGAGAGAGGTATTCGACGAAGATCACTCGAGAACGCTCCGATAATTCCCTACCGCACGTACGTAGATAAGGGATATTTTTGAGAGGACTCCTCTCCGTCGAGAGAGAGAGAGAGGGGGGGAGGCATTGTTTTCGCGCGTACGAATTGCGCACTTGGCCCGGAGCTGTATGGGCCACTGGTAGCGTGGCACGTGCGGCGCGGCTTCGCCGAGAGCGAGAGAGGGAGCGGCGACACGCGTAAATTGTTATCTCGCGTACCATTTTCGAATAATCTCGACTCGCCCCTTCCTCTCTGGCGTCCGTTACCGCAGATAGCCCTTAGTTGTGTTGCCTCTGTCTCTCTCTCTCTCTCTCTCTCTCTCTCTCTCTCTCTCTCTCTCCTCGAAACCACCGTACACAAAGACGTGCGCTGTCGCTTCCTTATCGCCAGTGGTTTTCATTAAGTCGGCAGATTTGAGTCGTACTCTCTCGCAAAGAGACACGAGGGAAGGAGAGATTTTTCCCCACGATGGCTACCTCGCAGAGCGTCGCGTCCCGTACACGCATACGACAGGTGGGGTCTTAACTTTGTCATTTGAATTTTCAGAAAAGCAAACATGAAGTTCCTTGGAGTATTGTCCGTTCTTTTCCTGACCGTCTCCGCGGAGTATTGTTACACCGACGTTGAGAGCGCCTGCGGCACAAATCCCAAAAGTACGTGGACATTTATCTGTCGTACAGAGTAGCTCTAAGAGTATTGACCCTTTGCACTCCTATGTCGAGTGCGACTCGACGTCAGTTTTTATCTCAAGCTCCTCTGTCCGGGTCTCACTCGACATTTTTTCAAGTCCGAACCAATAGGTGAGATATAATTCGGAGTGCAAAGGGTTAAACCCATCGTTCGCCCGACTGCGCGCAGGGATTTAATTGCGCGCCCCCCAACGAAAGCGGGTAAATCACTGTCGCTTCCAGGTGGTGTATTAATGTCAAACTGTAACGCCAAGTATGGAGCTATCGATACCCTCCAGGCCGATTTACAGGCGTACGCAAACGCCAACATCGAGACGAGTTTCGAGTTTCTCCTCATGTCCACGCATTTTGGAAATTACGAGGCTAATCGAGAGGGATTTAAGGGATTGTACCGCAAACTTTCAGACGAACTGTGGGAGCAAGCGATAGATTTGATGAAATATATCGCGCAGCGCGGTGGCAAGATGGATCTCAATCAGCTCCCACGTACCAAGAAGCCCGTAAGTATATCCGTCTCGGTTGTCCCCGCTTTTCCGCGCGGAACACAGCCAGCGAGTCGAGACTCTTATTAATGTATCACTGCAGATCAAGGACGGCAAGGTACTGGAATTGACCGAACTGAATAGTCTGGCCAAGGCACTCGATAGCGAGAAGCAGCTTGCCGAGGAGGCACTGCGCATTCACACCCAGGCGCAGCATCACACCAAGCAGGATGCTGCCATCGCTCATTATATCGAGGAACATTTCATGGAATCGTTGTCCGAACGCGTGAGACTGCTGGCGGGTCATTCGAATGACCTCAAGAACATGCTGGAAGAACGTGACGCATCAGTCTCCGTATTCCTGTTTGACGAGTACCTTAAGAAAACTTTGTAAAGGAGCCCTCTACAATTATGACTTAGAACACGTACATATAATATATATAGTCTTCAGTTATATTATTATTACTGTTTTTTTGCTCTATCACCAATGTTAGATCTTTTATATGTAAAATACAAGAAATAAACGCATGTAGAAATTTATTTCTTCTATATATTCTGTAACATAACAATACATGTATGCATGTATGTATGTATAATGCAATAAATACAACTTTGAATAGCTACACACACACACACGCACGCGCGCGCTTCTTTATAAATTATTTACGATCCGCGATACTGATCTGCAAAACTGCATATTTCATTCGATGTGCCTATATACAAGAATATTTGTAACGATAGACCCAACTTTGCTACATAGAATATTCTATATATTCTCGTTTGTTTTCGCGGATATGTCTTGTGTATCGCTCACGATACAAAGTACAGGCACAACGGAGACACTTCGATTCTGGTTTACAAGTATACATGTATAAAAAATACAATGATCGAAATGTGACATTCTAATGCACGACACAATCAGGATGTACAAAAAAAATGAATACATTGGTTAGCATCCTGCAACTGGGAAGACATGATAGTCGTATTTAGTAAACTAGGTATGTACACAGCTAATGTGCACAATTATTGAGGAAGACGCTCCCTACCAAAAATGCCCACGATAGAACGGCGCTGTTATAGAAAAAAAGATACATCGACATCTGATTCAATTGAGCATCGCTCACCGATTGTACAGTAAAACGATAGAATATACTAAATTTCTTTAATCAGTGATGTCCACGTATCTTTTTTTTTATTCTAGAGGGAATAAAAGTTTTGCGCATTTCCATCTAGATGTAACTAGACCTAATGTAGAATACAATTATTCATTTTTCAAAAGAGGAAGAGAGGGTGTGCGCGCGCACTCCACATGTACAACAATTTCAGATATTGACGGTTGTACAGACAAGTCTACAGTGTTATTACGTTTAGTCTTATTGCTCGCTACATTTATTCTTATATCAACATGGAAGCATCTATAATATACTATATGCGCGTTCCTGTATTTCATATTAAATCAATTAAATGCAATCGTGTTACACATCCATGTAACGATACTGTCAATTATAGTATGCTTGTACTATTTGTAGCATTTATTACACGCATTTCTCTATTTTTATCTATAATTAGATATTCTCTTCATTGCATATAACTATTTCTTCCATCCCAGATCGAAAAACAACTGTATTAATGTTACAAATCTAATACATGGTGATTCGATAAACTAATTTTTAGAAAGTAAAATTCTTCAGTCATTATATGATATGTAGAGCTATTTTTTGAAGACAAATTGATATGTCAATAGCACAAATGATTAAAAATGTACATCATGTAAGCACATACAATGTGTAAAATATAACATAGATACGTATAGATAAAAATCAAATACGTTGGAAGAATCAGAATGATAGCTGTAATATATATCACAGCGATAAAATCTATCCATCACGCATCGAGCATCACGTATGTATATGTATATTGTTTCTCTACCTCGCGAGTCTGTCTTTTTATTTAATTATTCTAAATTTGAATTCCTTCCGGGACAGAAACATTTATTCAGCTTCGTTTCATATCGCAATTATAGAAATACTCTTCACAAATTACTGCAATTATGCATGTCTAATTTTTCAAAATCCAACATAAATAGATATACGTATATACAGTCTTCTAACGATATGTACTCTGATCTAAACACATGCTATAATTTTATACCGTTATAATGTATTATCGCAATATGTTCCACTTGTGTGACGACTTGTATCACCTGAGGTAAACAAATGATATATTGGTATACACTGGCGAGGATAAACGTGATATCTGACAGTAAGATAAATACTTACTCTCCATCGCTATTCTCGTACACTAATTTAATAGTTTTACTAGCTTGCATATTTGATATTCTATATTTTGTAACACAGATTAACTTTTGTTGATTGTTTTTATGCATCTATATGTACCTATACGAGACAAAAAAAAGTTTTATTAGAGTGAAACTGAATCGTACAAATTTTTTAATATCAATGTACCTGACACGAATAACTTTGAATGGAATTTGTCATTACCGATAAATTTGTAATGTCAATGTGTACTAATAAGGAAGCAAGCTCAAGATCTTCGCTATACATGTTTTTTAGTGGAACACTTCTATATCCCGTCCTTAAACAGCGTACCTGAATAAAATAAGATTTGAATTGGAAATAACGATCTCAAGGAATCTACAAGAAGTTGGCTTTTAGATGACGATTAAGTACTCACTGGATAAGTAGCTTGTCCTATGAAATTGTTATCGCCAAACATATCTTCGTCTTGTACTAAAAATCGTATAAGGGCAAAATATGGATTGAATATCTCAAATTCACATGTTTCATTCCACATTGGATTGAATCCATTATCCTCTATAAAGTTCAGGTTACGTTTAGTAATACCAATGTTTAGTGAAATTATATTAATGTTTAATGAGATACGTAGATACTTACGTATCGTTCTTGTCGTCAATTTTGTCCCAGAGTCGAAATCTGCGCCCAAAATTTCAATCTCGATGGATGGACTGGCAGTGCCTCTTCCTGATCGCATTAAATGTCTTGCTCCAATAATTTTTAAGCTAATTTTGAGCGATTCAACTCCATACAATGTATTTTTGTCATATGGATTAAATTCTTGCCCAAATATGAATTCTGGTTTCAATAAATAGCCACAATTGCCATTCTCCTTAAATTTAGCCTGATTCAGTTGCATCGATTTATCTCCTGTCTGATAGTTCAAAGCTACCATCTGACAACCAGAGTTCCACATTGGTACAGGATTATAATTTGACGAATCGATACGTTGTCCCTTTGGGTAAACTCTACTAAATTGAATCTATAAGGAAAAATAATTTAATTTATTTACCAAACATCGATTCTTAAAATTTTCCAGTTTAATCACAAACACACACACACACTCTCTCTCTCTCTCTCTCTCTTTCTCTCTCACTCATTACCTGGTGATATTTTATAAAAAATTTATTTTCTTGTTGACACATTAATTTTTCAGCCTTGGTTTCAGGGAAACTACTCATTTCATTGAATGTAAATCCCTTAGTTCTTATTCGTTCTATGTTAAATGCGACCGATCTACAATATACTATAAGATTGGACATTTCCTTAGCTATTCTCCAGGCCCTTTCCATTTCTTTGTGTTGACTCTCCTAAACGAAAACACACATAATGCACTTGTTGCTAAATAATATCATACGCGTATTAATATCTGAATAAAGAAAATTATATATTTACCCTAACGCTGGCATTTTGTGCAGTCTCTTTGATACTCGACATCCACTCTAACGCAGTATCTTTCGAAGGTGTTGCGACTTCAAATACTGAACACATACTAGGATTTTGTATTCTTAAAATCCATTCCAAACCTGATCTTTCCCCAACCGTTATGTCTACCACAGCACCCATAATATCCAACGAACCTTTTTGCAAGCTACCAAGCATCATAGAATCCGCTGACTAATGAAACAAGATATTTTCAAATTAGGTGGAAATACATTATCACACATTATTATATATTAACGTAATAATAATAATGACACGGTTTTGTGTATGTGTTTAACATGAATTGCAATTTTGTCTGATTATTATTTATATGCATAAACAATGTATGTACAACTCGAGACCTACATCTCCTTGAATCTCTTGCTGATCAATTTGTTCCACGTAGTTGGCAGGAAACCAATGTTGCTTTTTACCACCATAATCGCCTCTCCACCATCCTCCGCTTTGTGGAATAACGTTAGTAATGATAGCATGCTTGACAAACGTCAATTCATCGTCTCTTCTAGCTTTATAATCATAAATAGCTTTAACAGTAACCTTTAAAGTAATTCGATACATCAGTACGTATACACATATATTTTTGATCACATCATAGAAATATAAATTTAATAGTTATCGGCATGATGATTTTGGAAAGCTTACTTGAGAATTTACGTTTGTAAAACTTGTAGGATCCATATAACCTGGGATGCCGTAAGATCCATCATCATTATCCTAAATATTGAGAAAAGGGGGAATGTAGTATTTTTCGTCTCCCTTAGTACTCCAATGCTTATTGTTCGACATATAATTGCATATTCCGTATCAACTCGAAGAAAAATGCAAAAAGAAATACATACCAAATCCATCCTTCTGATGATATCCTGATTAACAGGGTGGCTTAATTTAATCTTTTTAAACAATGGATGCCGTTCGTAATAACTAACTAATTCAACTAAACTCTCAAATTCTACGGTTCCAGTGGTATAGAGCCTCCCTTCGAGTTTTATTTTGCAGTGCTTTATTTTCTTTTCCGCTCTATAACAATGGAATATATAACTTGATATGTGTATGTACATGTATGCTATTGCAAAAGATGGATTGCATAAACAATTCATTTTTTATGTAGAAAGCAATACAGAGAAAAAAAAACCACGAGACGCTTTAAAGAAACATACCTAAATGAAATTGCATAGCAATTATTTCCACTAGGTCTTACTAAAAATGCGCCGTCCGTAGGTATACGCTTCAGCATCTCTTCCGCTGCGATTCGAGTACATTCGGGATGCCACCATTCCTTTTCCTCGTGTTTGTTTGGCTGAGGCACTGGTTCTTGCAATGTGATTAGAAATTCCTGTGTATCAAAGTATATGTGACACAGATATACAATCATATACTGCCTTATAGTCTTATTTCACAACAAACCAAAGTTAATAATTTCAAGTAATTGTAAGTTCTTTTGTACTCACCTGACTTCGCAGTGGATGATTACGGTAATGAGTAATTAAACTGTACAGACTGTCGAAACAATTGGTGTCAATAAGATAATACTGAGTTTGACCCATTTCTTGCTTTAGTTTAATACGACAATGGTTCACCTTTCCTTTACGCCAAAATGACAAACAATAATCGCCCACAAATGTAACACATTGCCGTACCAGAAAAGTACCATCTCCAAGATAGGAATAACGTCGTAACAATTCTTCAGCTTCTTCCCTTCCCCTCGCTAATTTTCCATGGAACCATTTCTCCCCAAAGTGTAACTCGTCACTTGGCGCGCCCTTTTAGAATTACAACAAATGTCATTATTTTATGTAATACGAATATTTATCATACGCATAGCTTTGTATGTATATCATAAATCAATTCATAATGGAACAAGTGCAATTCAAGTATTGACTTTGTATACAAAAGTATTGGACTTTTAATATAAAATGTGCATACATCCAACGATCTACGAACGCCACTTTCCTCGTCGTCATCGTGTTCGGTTTCCTGTGCTCTTGAAAATGTGTCTGTATAAAACAACTTCTGTTGCGTTAATACGAAAAAATGAGGATTCCATTCTCTATCAATAGGATCTTCCAGATAAAGAATCCCATTTTTCACAGTATTCCTAAGATCCATCTCTTGTCTGCTTTCGTCATTTCGAACAAGAAACGACGATTCATCGACACCATCGGGAAGTTTCTTATGTTTTAACAGGATTTTTCTACGTAATGCGTATGGCGAAGGTAGAGAAGTCTCATTCTTGTCGACAGGTTGAACCAACAACATGTCGCCAAATACCTCTTGCATAGTCGTTGCCATTTTACGTTGTTGGGGCAAGGTACAATTATCCTCGATGGATAAGATAACAGGGTACCTGTGAACAAAGGTTGTCGATAGATAAATAATAGCTGCACAGAGATAACTGGTTCCGTTATCTCTTGCCCCTTCAACTTACTCGGATGTAGCAAAAGCATGCTCCTTAATAGTTTTAATAACATCCAAAAATTTGATCTTGGTGGTGAGAGTGTGTCCGTGAAATATAAATGGCATTCCGTCTGGACCATCCCAACAATCGAGCTCTATACACCGACACCCCACTCTTAGTGCACGCACATAGGCCTGGCAGCTACTCTCGCTGCTGATCTGATCTCCCATCAAATATCTAGGACATCACACGGATCATTGGAATATATAAATTCACGAATATATAAATTTTTTTCTCTCTTTTTTCAAGACATTAACATACGTGTTGTGCGAGGACGCTATCCAATAATGCGCGAGAGGTCGAGTCATATCTTGAGAGACTTGATTAAATTTTTGATTCCATATGTCGTTGTGCTTAGAAAATAGATAGTCTATAAATTCGGGGAAAGTAAAATATGGCTCCTGTATATCCCTCTGAGAATCTTGTAAATACTCTCTAATAAAGCGCGACACTTCCGATTCATTATTCCCCAAAGTATCTTGCTGTTCGGTGACCAAGAAATTCTGGAATTCTTGAAGCGTGACAGTTTGTCCAGTTTTAGAATAATTCAACAGCTTATGCCAATCGGCGAGATTCTGCAAAACTCATTATTACAACTTGCGCAAATGTTGGTCACTTTTTCAGAATATTACAAATGTATTTACTTACATTCTGATCAAACATCAGTTTATGGTATAGAGTGACAAAGTCATCAAAACCAAGTTCATTCCGATTTCTCGTGTCCACTTCTTGGAACAATTCTCTGAGCCTGTTCGTAGCAATTTTGCAATTGACTCGGGGCAGAAATGCCTTCACATCTTTCAACGTGACCCTGTTGATCAGCGTAAAAAAAAGGACAATTAACGATGCATCAAAACGATACAGCTAACGACATATGGATTGATTATAAAAGGAAGTACAATTATATATAGACAATCTATATATAAATCGCGTCCATTATATACAGTGAAATACGAGTAAGAGATCAAATATAAACTCTGGTAGAAGAGAAACTTGCGTTTCACGGGAATTCTCCATCGCGTAAAACTCTTTTCTGAGCCATCTTTCAACTTGCAACGGATACGGCGCGTTTATAGTGTCTTGTACCAAGTGACGCAATCCTTTGACCCACAGCTCACATTCTTTCTCACTAAGGGCTGAGACACAAATACAAGCATAGCATGTAGCAGTACGTAACGAGAGCAGTTAGTAGCGATAGATGCTTATATTGCATTACCAGATATGGAAAGGGTTTTCAGTCTAAATTCTGATCCGTAATATACCACGAAGCATCTTAAATTTTCAATTCTCTTAGCGTCTTCAGGCCATTTTTCAAAGTCTTTAGATTGTTTTCCTATCCTAACTTCCTTGACCTCTCTGATCTCCACTGTAAATAAAATATAATACATAGCAATAAAATCGATACGCGATGTGTCGGCTCTCAAATATGTGCGACCTCTTCGACTCTCAAGAGGTCGATATCGCGAGACAACATGACATGTGACACATACGCGTGTGCATGCAAGAAATATCACTATCAATTATAGCACGATGCCGATTTAATTTCTTTGCAACTAATCCAAATTTTTCAGGCCAAAATTAACGAGCTAGTGTGCGAGGATGTTAGAAAAAAACAGATACGGATCGAAACGTTCACCTATGTAATTTATTGAGAATACAATTCTATTTTTCTAACATCCTTACATACTAGCTCGTTACTGTTGGCCCAAAAAATTTGGATTATTTGTGCACACATACAACGAGCGTCACCTTTGTATTAATTTAATTTCTTTATTTAAGAAACTCATCGTTAGAAACAAATCGTACGAAACGCAGGGGATTTTTAATATTTCTAAAAAGTTACAGCTGGCATTCACGATCTCGTCAATGTCTGTTGCAGACGCATCTGTACAAGTGTAGGCAAAATATACAAGACATATGCCTAGAAAAATTAATATCAATGTTGAGTAAATGGGAGAGAAACAGATCCGCGGACGCAAGCAACTTACCTGAACCATCGAAAGGTCTAAAAGTCGCGCTTCTTGACCAAACAATCTGTCTAGTCTCTCGCCTTATCATTAGAGTTTTCTTTTCCGGCCGTTTCCTCGGGAAGAATTTCGTCACTACGGTGCCCCTCTCGAGCTGACTAATAACCTGCTCCATTTCAGGAATAATTCCGTTCATCTTTGACGCCGTGGTACTTCTAACTTGTACGTTGACGCTGCAATAGACGACACGTGGTGACTCGAACAGCTCAAGTAGCCTGGTGCTGTATCAGATGACCCTTTACAGCTTTACACCTTGCGCATATTTGTCACTTACATTTGTCATATGATAACTGAAACGCTCCGAAACGACTTGGAAACGCTTCGCTCTCACATACGAAGGATAATATTACTAATGTAAGATATTTGGACACTTGCACGAACGCGAGGTATATTGAATAATTGGATAAGAGTTTTTGGAATACGCAAGACTCTTTATTATACAGAAATTTAAGTTGAGTAAGAGATATATATATATGAGTGTGTGTATACACGCATGTAAAATGTAATTATTTACAAAGTTGCAAAGCACATAGCGAGTGCGTTTTTAAAGGGACGTGAAAAATGTTTCGTGCGCGCGATATCACCGCGCGAAGCGTCCGAGTTTGCGTTCGATCCGATTAACAAGCAAATTTATTCGCCGCCATATCTCCACGTCGCGCATTTGTGCGCGAGAGTAGCACGAGACATTTGCATTTTCGCACTTTCTATCCAACTATATCTTTCTTCGTGTCTCTACGTTGCTCTACGCGACCTGTACAAAATAAACATAACCTAGCCGACGCTCCTCGGAGGGGTTTCTGTAAAAGGGGAAACGTCGGCATGGCGTGTAAATCGAACCGATAACGAGCGGCCCTGGGCGGGAGTACATTTCAGCAATAAAATGCCCCCTTCTAAACGCTCGCGCTCGAAAGAGACAGCTTTACGTTTACGGCGAACGCGACTCCGTCACTCGTTCCTCGCCGTATCGTTTATCATCGCGTATCGCGGATTTTTCAGCGCGCGCGAGACAATTTCCATCACCCTTATCGCGATGTTTACAATGTACATGCTTAAAGATATGTGTCATACCTGTCTGCGAAACGGCACGCACTGTTGATTATGCGCGACAAAAATACGTCTCCCTTATCATGTGTAGGTATCGTCCGTAATTCACGTTTACATGAATTGGAGACTTCCGATTGTTCCCGGCGAGAGAGGACGTTACGTTTCTGTCGTTTCTGCAATGGCCGCGTTCAGCAGACACAACTGTTGAGTGAGCGCTCAATGATTTCTTAACGTGATTGGCTGGATCTAAAAGTATTAACCAATCATACTGATCGCTCACTCAACAGTTGTGTCTGCTGAACGCGGCCAATCTGTATGTGGCGCCGCGGCGTTCACGCGACAAGGGCCGCGTTCAGCAGACACAACTGTTGAGTGAGCGCTCAGTATGATTGGCTAATACTTTTAGATCCAACCAATCATGTTAAGAAATCATTGAGCGCTCAGTATGATTGGTTAATACTTTTAGATCCAGCCAATCATATTAAGAAATCGTTGCGCGCTCACTCAACAGTTGTGTCTGCTGAACGCAGCCATTGGCCACACCGAGATAATGGCGGATGCGCAGAAATGATCGGCGCAAAAAACAAAACAAATGACAGAGTGGACATACTAGTTACCCCTAGTCCACAATCTTACTTTAGTTCCAGTCTACAATAGATGATTTAAGCCCTAAGCTTTAAGAAATTGGCCAATCATGGTCAAGTATGAGAATAGTCGACTATGATTGGTCAATTCTTATGTGTCTGACGAAATTGACCAATCGTAGTCGATTATTCTTACGACTACGACTCGCATTGTAGACCACGCATTAAGCCCGCTGCAGACGATGCTATTTTTCCTGCTGGATTGCTTGCGATTTAGTAAATTACTATCATTGCACCACTCAGCATTCAGGATTCCTAGTAATTTACTAAATTGCAAGCAATCCAGCAGGAAAAATAGCATCGTCTGCAGCGGGCTTTAGTCTCAGTCTACAATAGAGATTTAAGCCCTAAGCCTTAATAAATTGACTAATCACAGTCGCGCATTCTACTCATACTTGACCGTGATTGGCCAATTTCTTAAAGCTTAGGGCTTAAATCATCTATTGTAGACTGGGACTAAAGCCCGCTGCAGACGATGCTATTTTTCCTGCTGAATTGCTTGCGATTTAGTAAATTACTATCATTGCACCACTCAGCATTC